GCGGGACTCGGGGTGGGGTCCCCCGACACTCCTCGTCGCCCCCGCCTGCCCGGGCTTCCCGGCCACATTTCTCCCCGCTGCCCGGCCTCCTCCTTGTTTGCAGCCCTTTGTCTCGGCCGACATTCGCTCAGCACGCGGAGCGCCCTCCCTGCCTCCCCTGGGCACCTCTTACCCTCGCACACGGGTGTCTGTTTATTCGTTTGACTGTAACCCCCACGCTAAGCCCCTGGAGGGCAGGGACTGTTTTTTTACAAGAAGGCACACAGAAAATGCCGAATAATGAGCCGTTTGGGTGCACGGAGCCCAAACCTGCCCACCCTCCTCTCCTGCAATCCTTCGTTGCCCTGTTTCTTCCATTTCTCTATCTTCTCTCGCTCCCTCCTCCCGGAAAGGGCTCCGGTGATGGCCCTTCTCACATAATTGAAGACAAGTGAGCTCGGGAGCGGAAGGGAGGGGGGCATCTCCGTCCTCAGCGTGGCCGCTCCGCCAGCATCTACACGTGTTTTAAGTGTCCTGAGCCTCTGCACCGCAGGGTTGAGCATTGAGGACATTTTACAGCATCTGGCACACACAGGTTTTCAGGGAGTCCCGCTCTGCTCCTCATCCCTGCCCTCCCATCTCTCACCCTCAGTTCCACTCCCCGAGCTGGGTCCTCCGCTCCTCTCCCCACTCCGATGTGCCTCTACCCGCACCCCCCCTTCTCCCCAGCACCTGGCTGACCGTCGGGCCAGCACACGCCGAGTGTGTGTTTGTACACACCCAGGATTGGCCCCACACCTGCTGTTGTGTTTTTCCTTGGGGCCCTTCCCCTGTCACCCCGTACCCCAGTGAGTAAGCAAGCTTCCCTCGGTGAGTCAGCTTCCCCCAGGGATGAGTTTGTTGAGCTCTATACCCTATTAGACATGCTTTGCCTACCAGGTTTTTGTTTGTTTGTTTGTTTGCTGTCTGTTGACATATCCCTTTTTCTTTCCAAAGTTGGAGTTGGTGGAGTTAACACAACCCGTAGCCAGCTTCCATCGGAGACAGGACCCAGGAGACCTGACATACCTTTGGTCTTTTTGGCCCGGCCATGCCCGTGATGCCCACCCTGTGAAGGTCTTTCACCATCTGAAAAGTAAGTGGTGGCTGTGACTTGTGGTGCCCTGAGTCCGGTCGAGGGGAAGGGCTGTGCTCCGTTAGCCATCCGGTGGCACGTCTCTTGGAGTGGGGTCATCTGTGCACGGAGCTGGTGTTCCCCAACCGGGGCTGAAAAACTATCCTTTCTGTTCCCACGGAGGGTTTCACTGGTTGTGGAGAGAACCTGTTTAGAGGTTGACAGGAAGTAGCTGGGCTCTCTGGGCTCTCCGAGGAATTAGTCTTCCTTGCGTGTTCTCTGCTGTGCTGGCTCCGCCCTCCCGCCCTCTGCCCGGCAGAGATTGGCTCCTTACCACACGCTTCTCAGAGTCAGCTCTGCTCCCTTTGCCACTTCTTCTCTTCTGTTTCAATCTCTCAGCTTCTCCTCTGTTTTCAGTTGTGCCAGCAGACGACCCGTGGATCCATTTTATTTTCCCTGCTAGGAGTTGCTCTACATAAATCTGGGTAAGGAGTGGTGTGGATCCAGGGACTGTGCTGGGATCCAGACATAACCCTGCAGTGAATTTTGCTACTGCTCTCCCTACACCCAAGACACCTAATACTTCTCTACTAATGGCCTAGGTTGAGGCAAAGCTTTCTATTACCGTGGAGTGCTAATAGTTTCAGTTTGGAATTCGGTTTGGTTCTGGTCTTAGGTTAATATTAATAACAGTCTTTGTGTGTGTGTGTGTGTCTGTGTCTTATTGATTTGAGAGAGAGGAGAGAGAAAAATCAATCGGTTGCCTCCTGTACGCACCCGACAGGGGGTCGAACCTACAACCTGGGTATGTTTCCTAACTGGGAATTGAACCCGAGACCTTTCGGTGTACGGGGTGACGCTCCAACCAACTGAACTACCTGGCCAGGGCAGTAACAGTCTGTTAATATTGTTCCCCTAGCCGTTCTTTGGGGTGGGAGTGGGAGACTATCAGGATGAATGAGATTTTTCCCAAAGAGTGATCCTCGGGACTTTAAAAACTGTTACATAGAGGAAGGGTTTCTTCAGACTAGCTTGTGAAAGGCTGCATTAAGTACAGTTAAACTAGTGTCTTTACAGCAGCCCTTGCTGCCCAAAGTCTTTGCTGTGCTCATGTGCTCCAGTGGAGGGTCTGAAGCACGTAGTGCAGTGGTTCTCAACCTTCTGGCCCTTTAAATACAGTTCCTCATGTTGTGACCCAACCGTAAAATTATTTTCGTTGCTACTTCATAGCTGTAATGTTGCTACTGTTATGAATCGTCATGTAAATATCTGATATGCAGGATGGTCTTAGAAGACCCCTGTGAAAGGGTCGTTCGACCGCCAAAGGGGTCGCGACCCACAGGTTGAGAACCGCTGATGTAGTGGAACAGGGGGTGCACTAGTGTGCTGTGGACCACGCTTGGGAAGTGCTCTCGTAAACTATCTGAAGCTACGACCTCAGGAGTACTTTGCAGCAGCCACATCTATAAGCATAGTGGGTAGCTATGCCCGGGGATGGCCCCCCTGCCTGCAGTGAGCCCTGCGGTGCAGTAGGGACTATCAGGGCTTTCCAGAGGGACAGGAACCCAGCGCCTCCCACCGCCCTGGAAGGCTAGGAAGCCAGCAGGCGAAGCCCAAGATAGTAGGGGCCCTATCTTGGCTTGTGTGCGTGTATTTTGCAGCTTTGGTCCATTTGTGTGCCTATGCGTGTGTAGCTGGCTCTTTGGGAGGATTAAGTCCTGGAATCTGAAAGGATCGTTCCACTCCTGCCTCACTGAGCTCCAAAGACTAAGACACAGATGCTTAGTCAAAAGCTGCTTTTTAAGAAAAAAGTAGATGTGGGTTTTCCAGGGATGGAAGGGTAAGAAGATACTGCCCTTGGAAGAGGCAGTCTCTCATTCAAACCATGTTTCTCACGGTTGTGGAGGAGGAAGTAGAAATGGAAATAGGTCACTGCTCTGTGTCAGAGACTGGCTTTCTGGAAGCTCATAGACTAGACAGGGAGACAGTAAGGTGAAAAAACAAAATGTCAGGTAAGATTGTATGTCCTCCGTGGAGACACCAGGGGAGCTTCGTGGAGGGGGTGACACTAGAGTTGGGTCTGGAAGGTCAGTAGGAGTCAAATGGGTGTAAAAGGAAAGAGCATTCCAGGCTGAAAGCAGCATGTGCCACACAAACAGGGAATCTTGGCTTGGGGATCAGCAGAGCCAGAGACATCAGCGTGTGGAGGGGTTGGAGGTTCCACGTGAGCCACGTGGGGCGTGGGCGTGCAGCTGCAAGTTGGGGACTGGTGAAAGCAGCCAGTTCCTGGACAAGCTGAAGTCCCAGTAGAGCTTGTAACGCCAAAGAAACACTAACCTTTTACTAGCGTGCATGCCTTTGAATCTTGCACGTACTGGACACTAACGCCTTTGGTTTCATGTCCTTTGGCCTTTCAAACAGTGACCAGAACTTTAACGCACTTGCTTCTAAAAGCCACGTGGCCCTAGCCAGTTTGGCTCAGTGGATAGAGCGTCAGCCTGTGGACTGAGAGGTCCCTGGTTCGATTCCGGTCAAGGGCACATGCCCAGGTTGCGGGCTCCATCCCCAGTAGGAGGTGTGCTGGAGGCAGTCGATCAATGATTCTCTCATCATTGATGTTTCTATCTCTCTCCCTTTCTCTTCCTCTCGGAAATCAATAAAAATATTAAAAAATAAATAAATGGATCTCAGGGAACTTGCTGCCTGGAAGCAAGTCACTTCTGGGGCTGAGCAGACCTGCCTACTCCATCCTCATGGCAGCAGGTGGGGGGGCTGTGGGTGTTGTGGGGTTGCCTCTGCCCTTCCCTGAGGGCTGGTTGTTGTGATCTTGCTGGTAGAGTTTGTGGTTGTTATATAACATACAAAGCTACCATTGAGCTTGTATTGCCATGCCTAGTCTTCTTAGTCTGTGGGTATCACGCTTGTTGTACATGTGACGAATCCAAGGCTTTGAGGATAATAACTTGCTCAAGTTTATGTAGCTCAGTAATAGACTGAGCACGGTTTGAACCCAGCTGTGTGTCGTTCCAGAATCTGTCATCTACACGCTACATCACGCCCGTGTCAGTATCCCTTTTCTTCTCCTTTCAGTGGTTTTCCTCTTTTACTTCTTGCATTCCTATTTCTCTTAACAGTCTTAACTGCTGGGCCACAGTAAGGCCGATTCAGTGCTCTCTCCTTTTCTGCTTTGGAGGAGCCAGTGGTATTTTCTTCCCAGTGTCTCCCCCCCCCCCCTTTTTTAAAAATATATTTTTATTGATTTCAGAGAGGAAGGGAGAGAGAGAGAGAGATACACCAATGATGAGAGAGAATCATTGATCGGCTGCCTCCTGCACGCCCCCCATTGGGGATCAAGCCCTCAACCTGGACATGTGCCCTTGACCGGAATCGAACCTGGGGCCCTTCAGCTTGCAAGCCGATGCTTTATCCACTGAGCCAAACCAGCTGGGCCCAGTGTCCTCTCAGAGCACTGCTGTCTCTCTTATTTTTTTCCAAGGGTGTTTGACTAGAAGCTTTTAAAAAATACATGTATATATATTTTCTTATTGATTCCAGGGAAAAAGGGAGAGGGGGAGAGAGACAGAAACATCAATGATGAAAGAGAATCATTGATCGGCTGCCCCCTGCATGCCTCTCATTTGGGATCGAGCCCACAACCCCAGCATGTGCCCTGACCGGGAATTGAACCATGACCTCCTGGTTCATAGGTTGATGCTCAAACCCTGAGCAACACTGGCTGGGCTTCTGTCTCTTATTAAGCCCTTGACACGTGGCCTCCATGCTAAGAAACTCTCCCGCAGTGTGGTGTTTTACTGAGGAGGAAGGTAGAAATGGACATACAAGCCCTGACCGGTTTGGCTCAGTGGATAGAGCGTCAGCCTGCGGACTGAGGGGTTCCGGGTTCAATTCCGGTCGGGGGCATGTACCTTGGTTGCGGGTACACCCCCAGTGGGGCGCGTGCAGGAGGCAGCTGATTGATGTTTCTCTCTCATCAATGTTTCTAACTCTCTATCCCTCTCCCTTCTTCTCTGTGAAAAATGAATAAAATATTAAAAAAAAAGAAAGAAATGGACATACAAGTCACTTCTGTCTCCCCAGAAATCATGAACAATGCAAAGTAATCTGTGGCTCTAGGCAAAACATGTTGGTTGCAGTTTCCCTGTGGGTCTGTCTGTCTTTCTGCCCATTCTTTGGGATGGTTAGTTCCTAAGAGCCAGTTTCCAGTTGTGCAGAATCTACTTTTTCTAGATACTTTGTTTCTCGGGAACTTTGACACCCTTTGGCGGTTTCTCATACATGCTTACTCATGAGCAATGCCTTCTCCTTTCTCAGGTAGAGTGATTGCTTGGCCGATGAGCGGGCTGATGGCTCTGATTAGGCCTGCTAGACAGGGAGTGGCGGGCAGGAATGTGCTGGGTGTTGGGGAGGGTAGAGCCAGGCACACCCACACGGCTGCAGCACACGCCGACTCTTCCATGGAGGGGCCTTTTCCCCTTTGACTTCCCAGGATCCCAGGGCTCTGCTGGTGGCGTAGCTCTGTGTGTAGTGGGGTCTCTGAGGAACAGGCTGCTTTTGGGAGCAGAGATCCCCAACCGCATGTGGGATCTTCTTCGGTCTGTCTGCCCTTTTGACTTTAGCCACGTGTCTCTAGGGCTTAGGAGTGAGGTCTCGAGACCCCTCACATGTTATTGCTATCTGGAAAAACGAGGCTCTGAAGGTGTGTGTGTGGGTGAGTGAGAGCAGGAGAGCCTCCCACACAGGAACAGGCCGGGTTGGTAACTGTTAACTGCTTATCACAGGGAGGTGGTGTCCGAGTACGAACTTCCAGCCCCGGTAGAAATATTTACAGGAGTTTATTAGAGCCAAACCAAGGACGTGCCCAGAAGCAGGACCGAGGAAACTCGGATTGAGAATATGCTGTGGGCATGGCCGTTTTGCAGTTCCTTTTGTGCATTGGGAGTCAAAGGAGGGAACATTAGGATGATGACATGAAATCCATTGGTAGCAGACTAGGAGGCAGGGAAAGCAGAGCTGGGAAACCTCTGGATAAAAAGGGAAATGGAGAGATGCATGCTTCTTTTACATCGGTGTGCACACAGTAGTTAACATTTAGCATTTACAGTAGTAGAGGTGGCATAGAGATAATACGATATGTGCTCCCATGAGGTGGTTATGCCTCTGAGGGGTCTGAAAAAGAGCATTGCTTTGATACTTCAGAAGTACCCAGGTACCCAAGAACAGAAGGTCAAGGCAAAGATTAACTTTTTACTGAGGAGGTTATAGGCCTGAGGTGTGACTGACCTCCATGACCTACCCAGTTAGGAATTTATCATCAGATCTTCCTGTGCGGTTACTTTTGGCCACTGAGCGTGTCAGTTACTACTTAGCTCCTCTGGATATTTTTGCCTTTAGTTTCCCCATTTTCTACTGTGCACACATTGATAATGAGGGAGACGTCTCCCTTGAGGATCATCCTGCTTCTTTGCCCCCGACCCCAAAACCAAAATCTGTTAGAAATTAGGGCCGTCGGGACCCGGACAGCAGGGGAGAGTGGTGGGAGTCACTGACCATGAGTGTCACTTTGCTTTCGCTGCTTTCAGTATTCAGTGCTGTTTCTCAGGTGGGTGGTGTGTAGGAAATAGGTGGATTTCTGTAATATTTTTCTGCCTCTCGATTCCTCCTCGTCTCTCTGAGGTGGGGAAGGCAGGCCTGTCACTGTTCAACAGGCGAGGAACGGCCAGTGCGAGGCCTGAATTCGGGCCCTGACTCCAGGGTCTGAGTGCCCAGGCTCTGTGACAGGGAGCCTGGCCCTAGTGTCCCTAGAGGTCCTGGCTTACTCTTGAGATGTGGCTCCTACTTCCCGGCTCTGCTCTGGTCCTGGAGCCCGTGTTCTCGATGGACCCTCAGCTGGTCCCCGCTCCCCTGCAGCCCCTGCTGTACACCGGAATAACGCCCAGCTGGGTGTCCCAGGCTCCTGACAGTCTCTTCTCTTACAGCGCGATGTCCCTGTTCTTCCCTCGATGCAACTCCGTTGTCACAGTCAAGAAGGATAAGAGACACATGGCTGAGGTGAATGCTTCTCCACTCAAGCACTTTGTCACTGCCAAGAAGAAGATCAATGGCATTTTTGAGCAGCTGGGGGCCTACATCCAAGAGAGTGCCACCTTCCTTGAAGGTGAGACCGGCACCTGCTGAGCCAGGCCCGCTCCTGTCGGTTCGGATATTTAGGTGGCAGGGTCTGGGGGTGGGCAGGAACAGCCCTGCTCCTGGGGGGCTCAGGCCCAGATGCGTTGTCGCCTCCAGCAACGCTCTGCTCGGAAGGGTGTGGAGGTGGGTCCCAGGGAGATCGGCCAGGAACACAAGGGACCTGCCATTTAAGAATTCCCCGTATACGACTTCATCTAATCACGAGGGGTAGGCGGATCTAATCCCCGTCTGAAACACAAGCAGGTTGAGGGGTGAGTTGCGTGATACTGTGTAAGTGACACACGGGGGCTTTACCCAGGTGTTTTCCGTGGCCCGGTTCTGCTGCCATTAATACGGGGCTCTTTCTGGTGGTGTTTGTTTCTGACCACAGTGTTCTCTGATATTTTTAGACAACAGGACTATGAATAGGAAACTTGCATCACTGGCACCTTTTTCATGAGTTACTGATCAGAGCCCGACCTGTAGGCTCAGCAGAGAAGGGCTGGTTCCCAGGGTCCTGCTCAGTCTGAGTGCCCCCTCCAGCCGCTGACTTTCTCAGGCTCCCTCTCTAGAAGGCACATCCTGGCGCCAGGCCCTGGGATTGTCAGTAAAGATGCAGTCGCTGCTGAGTCTTATCTGCCCTTGGTCTCCTCACTTATGAAAGCAGGGCTCAGGCGAGACCAGGGTTTTCAGACTCTAGTCTGTGGAACCCTAGAGGTTCGGTGGAAATGCTCCAGGGACACGCTTCTCTCCACGCTGTTTTCCACTAGAGTGGCTTGGCTTCTGCTTGGTTTACATGTCAGGCTGCTATTAAAAGAAAGGACATATGTCCAGTACTATGGTCTGAATGTTTGTGTTCCCTCAAATTCACATGTTGGACTCCTAAGGCCCATGTGATGGTGTTAGGAGGTGGGGCCTTGGGAGGTGATTGGGTCATGAGGAGGGTGAAGCCCTCATGAATGAGATTTGTGCTCTTATAAATAAAAGAGACCCCCACAAAGCTCTAGCCCCTTCCACCCTGGGTCATGAGGAGGGTGGAGCCCTCATGGATGAGATTTGTACTCTTATAAAAGAGACCCCCACAAAGCTCTAGCCCCTTCCACCAGGTAGGGATACAAGAAGTCGGAACTGGAAGAGGGCCCTCACCCACCAGCTGGCACCCTGATCAATACATTTCTGTTGTGTGTGAGGCACCCAGTCGGTACTGTGTGACAGCAGCCCAAGCGGACTGAGGCTGAGAGGGGACTGTCTGTGCCCTGCCCTTAGCATGGGGCCTGATGCAAGAGAAAGTATTTCCTAAATATTTGTTAAACATCTGAATTTTAAAGTTATAAGGTTGGTTGTTGAAATGATTCCTGTTCACGACCTGCTTATTTAGCAGTCTCTCTGGTGTGCCTGGCAGTGGGCATGCAGGGATGGGCAGACCAGGCCACTGTCCTCCCAGAGCCCAGTCTATAACCCTCTGAGTCACTCACTGAGGTGGTGCTGTGGGCAAACACGTGCTTAATGAGGTTTTTATAAGATGGCATCAGGAGTGGTCTTCCTTTTTTGTGTGTGAAAAGATGAGGCCTCTCCTGTTGGTGGATTGGAAGGGAAAGAGCTGGAGAACTTGAGATGTGTTGGGATTGCCCTGGCTGGGGAAGGGAGAGTTACTGCCTTAGGACGGAGAGTTTGTCGGCCTACTGGCTGTCTCTTTCAAATGTAGCTTTGAAAAGTGGTCAGATCTGTGCCTGGCATGTAGTGAGAACTTTGTAAGTATTGGTTAAGTACTAAACATAAAAGTAAATGATGACAGTTAATATTTGAGTATCCATCATGCACTAGCCACCATTTTTAGCACTTTTTGTGCTTTAATTCATTTAATCCTTGCAGTAGTCACAGGAGGTAGGACTGTTATCTGCACTTTAAGGGTGAGGAAACGAAGACCCAGAAAGGTCCACTTGCTTGAGGTCACAAAGCCAGGAAGAGGTGAGCCCAGCACGTCCTTGCCTGCACTGGAACCCGGTAGTCCTGCCCCCGGGAGCCGTGTTCGTCACTGCGGCCACAGTAGGGAATCGGGACCTCAGCCCGGCAGCAGGAGCCGCCTCGGTGGCCTCTGTTCCTTCCAGACGTGACCGTGGAACTCCTTAGAGCAGGTGCTGACCCATTTCCACTCCCCGCCTCCAGACACCTACAGGAATGCAGAACTGGACCCCGTTACGACAGAAGAACAGGTTCTGGACGTCAAAGGTTACTTGTCCAAAGTGCGGGGCATCAGTGAGGTGCTGGCCCGGCGGCACATGAAAGTGGCTTTTTTTGGCCGGTGAGTTCTCGAAGCCCTCACACCTTTTTCCTTCTGGGCTGGGAGGGAGGGGTGGGGTGAGGGAGACACTTTGTGCAGGACCACAGGCTGAGCACCCCAAGGTCCTGGGGGCACAGTAGGCAAGAATGCTGCAGCAGGCTGCCCTGTAGCAGCAGTTACCGGCGGGGCAGACGTGGTGGGGCTTCATGTGTGAGGAGGAGCACAGTGGGAGAAGAGCAGCAAACTCGGCCTTTTGTGGAAACCAGGGACATTGGATTGGGGCCATTAGCTGAGGTCACTGAGACTGAGGGTGTTAGTGGTTTCAAGTGGAAGGGTGGGTCTCCTTAGGTGGTCTCCCTCAGTGATGCTGAGAGGCTTGCGGTCGGGGCAGGCCTGTTCAAGGACAGGTGAGCGGCATCGTGCTGACTCCACACCGTGTGAGCGCCTTGCATGTGGGTTTGCAGTGATGGGCCAGGAGCACCTCACAGGCACAGGCCAGGCGCCTGTCCGTCCATTTCCATGAACTCGGAGTGCCCGCTCTGCCTGGTGGGCACTGCTGCCACTGCAGAGAACAAGGCCTCGGACTTGCAGGCTGGTCACTTCAGTGTGAAAGCCCAAAATGCAGATGCCGGGGCCTCACTGACCGCCAGTGTTTCCTTCCCACAGGACGAGCAATGGGAAGAGCACCGTGATCAATGCCATGCTGTGGGACAAAGTTCTGCCCTCTGGGATCGGCCACACCACCAATTGCTTCCTGCGGGTGGAAGGCACAGACGGCCACGAGGCCTTCCTCCTCACGGAGGGCTCCGAGGAGAAGAGGAGCATCAAGGTGCGGTGCTGTGTGGGGCTGGGGCAGGGCCGCAGCCCTGGGCATTCTGGAGGTTGAATCGGGGCTGAGACCAACTAGCAAGACAGGAGTAACGGCTCCCTACAGAGAGGGTGGTGCCCTGGTGGTGGGGTGTGGCAGCCCTGCTCCCTGGCTGTTGAGGAGGAGAGCTGTTTCGGGGCGGGCTGGAGCCGGGAGCACCAGGAATGAGGAGTCTGCAGTTCCTTGCCTGTTACCCAGCAGGCCATCTGGCTTTTCTCTTGACCTGAAGAGAGTACATGCCTTGTTCTTCTCGGGGAAGTTGCCAGAGAGCGATTTCTGCATTTGCTCTGGGGTTCTGACATACCAGCTAGGAGCTTGTACATTTAATTTCTCTGAGAGCCAGTTGCATTCTTGTGTGGGGCCAGATGCTCATTTTGGTTCATAAAGACTTACTACAGAGCACCACCAGCTTTAGCGCAGTGTCTGAGGGAGAAGCTGAGAGGGGAGTGAAGAACAGTTGGTTCTCCTGGCAACCCCCAGCTCTTGACTTTTTTTTTTAAACATATATTTTACTGATTTTTTTATAGAGAGGAAGGGAGAGGGATAGAGAGTTAGAAACATCAATGAGAGAGAAACATCGATCAGCTGCCTCCTGCACACTCCCCACTGGGGATGTGCCCGCAACCAAGGTACATGCCCTTGACCAGAATCGAACCTGGGACCCTTCAGTCCACAGGCCGACGCTCTATCCACTGAGCCAAACCGGCTAGGGCAACTCTTGACTTTTTATGTGTGAAATGAAAGGAAAGGGGAAGCAAGTGGCCAGCAGTCTCAGGCCACTGTGCCATGCCAGGCAGCACAGGAGTCTGGCTGGGGCTGGTCCTCGGCCCTGAACGTCCCTCCCCTCCACCCATCAGACTGTGAACCAGCTGGCGCATGCCCTCCACCAGGATGAGCAGCTGCACGCCGGCAGCCTGGTGAGTGTGATGTGGCCCAACTCCAAGTGCCCGCTGCTGAAGGATGACCTCGTGCTGATGGACAGGTAAGAGGGAAGGTGCCCCCCTAGGAGGTCCAAGCCGAGAGGGCCGGGAGTCCCATTTCTGGATCATCAAGCCAATGTCCCCTGGGCCCTGTCCTTGCTCTGCTTATGTATTGGCTCTACCAAATCCCCCTGCCTCTTGGATTTCCTCCGGGGTCTGGTTACGGTACCCATTGGCATCAGTGCCCTGAAGATGTGCCAGTGGTGGCCTGTGAGGAGGGATGGGAGGGGTGGCCAAAGCCTCAGCCCAGTGTTAGTATGTGTGTGTGCAGGTGGGGTCCGTGTTGTACTTTATTTCTGCTGAAGGAGCACTTTGCTCCTGCTTTGTGGGCAGGCTGCAACTATACCAAGAAATACCGTACTATAGTGCTTATTGGACTCTCATGAATATAACACTTCACCTTTTTTTATAAATTATTAATTTGAGAGAGAGAGAGAGAAACGTCAATTTGTTGTTCCACTTATTTATACATTCATTGGTTTGATCTTATATGTGCCCTGACCGGCGATTGAACCCGCAACCCTGGTGTATTGTGGTGACGCTCTAACCAAGTGAGCTACGTGGCCAGGGCAGCACTTCACCTTAATTGTTTATCTCCAGAGTAAAATTATAAGTCATTATGTTTTTGTAACAGTGATAGATGCACACGGCAGGAAACACATGTTCGGATTACCTGGAATGTTCTGAAATGAAAAGTAAAAGTCCCTTCAGGAAGGGATGACATTTTTCTCCCCTCTTATCGCCGTCTCCTTCCCTTGCTTGGCTGCCTCAGGTCTGCCACAGCAGGAAGAACAGGACCCATGGTCTGTGTGCCTGATATCGGTTTAACCCTGTCACCTCTAGCCCCGGCATCGATGTCACCACAGAGCTGGACAGCTGGATTGACAAGTTTTGCCTGGACGCTGATGTGTTTGTGCTGGTGGCCAACTCGGAGTCTACCCTGATGCAGACGGTAACCCCTCCTCCGCCTTTCCCACGCTCCCAGGGCCTTGGCTGGCTGGGCCCCTCCTCCACTGAGGTCTTTCCCTCTCATGCAGGAAAAGCAATTCTTCCACAAGGTGAGCGAGCGCCTGTCCCGCCCCAACATCTTCATTCTGAACAACCGCTGGGATGCGTCCGCCTCAGAGCCCGAGTACATGGAGGAGGTTGGTGCCTCTTTATTCAGCAGTTTGGGGACTGCCACCCCACATGGGTACCCGGGGCCCCTTCGTGCACTCCCAGGCTGCATCAGGTTCACGCCTTTCCTGAAGGAATTTCATCACCAAAGATTTCCCAAGTGTTCCCTCGGGTCACTGTGAGGTCTTCTGCCGGCTTTAAACACCCTCTTCACCTGCCAGTCACTTTCCCAGACCCTCCACTCTTAGAGGCTTTCATCCAGGTCTGCAGGGCGTCCCCAGCACATCAGCTGCACCCTTGTCTGGGGCCTGTGCTCACTTTGGTTCATAAAGGACTAATCATCATAGAACCGCTCAGCTCTGGAAGATATTCAGGAAGGAGGCTTAAAAGTGGGAGAAGAAGAATTGGTTCACGTGTGAGATGAAAGAAACAGGAGTCACAGATTGGTAATAAGGGATAAAAAGTGTGCAGTCCGCAGGCTGACATTGGGCAGTGTGACTTTGGCAAATTCCTCACCTGTGAGGTGGATGTAATGGAATTACTGCAGGGATGAAATCTCTCAACACTGAGAAAGCATGTGGCAGGTGGCCCAAGGGGCTGTTGGCATTTGTAAGTTCTAGTAGTAGAACCCTAGACTTCAGAGCTAGACAGGATTGTATATGGTGCCCAGTCATTTCATAAATAGGCCTTGGAGGACTCGGCTTGTCAGCATAGAGCCCAGATGGAGGTTTCTCAACTCCAGTTCCTTTCATTCTGGGGCACGAAAGTGAGACACTGGTTAGGCCCTCACCAGAGGCGGCTTGAGGCATGTGTTAGCATTTCTGCTTATATATGCATAAAATGCCTTTGGCAGGCCATCCCCTAGGAAACTCCCATGGCCATATTGCTTCTGGGGGGCTTGGTGACTAGAGAGCAGAAATGGTGGGAGATGGTTCGCCTGCCCCCCCTGGTCACAGACACCCCTCTGCTTGGGCTCCAGGTGCGGCGGCAGCACATGGAGCGTTGCACCAGCTTCCTGGTGGATGAGCTGGGCGTGGTGGATCGAGGCCAGGCTGGGGACCGCATCTTCTTTGTGTCCGCCAAGGAGGCGCTCAACGCCAGGATCCAGAAGGCCCAGGGCATGCCCGAAGGAGGTGACAGTGAGACCAACTTCCTCTTTTCCCTAATGTTTGAGAGGTTTGGCCTCATGCTGTCAGCCGACAGAAAATAGTTCTGAGAAGGATGTGGTGAGAAGAGCCTGGGTGAGCAGCTCTTTGCTCCCCCCAGTGTTTAGCCAAGTGTCGCATTGGGGTGGCTTTGTGGGTTTTCACTTTCCTCCCTGTGCAGTTATTTCCAGACTAACATGCAGTTCTCCTAGGGGGCGCTCTTGCAGAGGGCTTTCAAGTGAGGATGCTTGAGTTTCAGAACTTCGAGAGGAGGTTTGAGGTGAGTCCTTTGATTCTGGTCTCTGGTGCTTCTGGGCTTCCCAGCTGTCACCGGCCATGTCCCTGGCAGTGAAACCAGAGCCTGGCCCTGGCTGGTGGCCCACGTGCCTCCTCAGCACCTCTTGTCTGTTCCAGGAGTGCATCTCCCAGTCTGCAGTGAAGACCAAATTCGAGCAGCACACGGTCCGGGCCAAGCAGATTGCGGAAGCAGTTCGCCTCATCATGGACTCTCTGCACATCGCGGCTCAGGAGCAGCGGTAAGGACCCGGGACCTCGGGCAGGCCTGGGTGAAGAGGGGATGCTGGGAAGTGACCGCCTCACCCCCTGCCTGGGACGATGGGCCCAGGGGCAGAGCCCTGCCAGCAGAGCCGTCTCTGGGTTCCCATGCCTGTGTCCTTCCCCAGCCGCCAGGCCTCACTAGATGTACACGGAACAGCCTGGTGAGGGGACCATTGGGGGTCTGTCCCACCCGGCCTGTGCAGCATGGCGCCCTGAAATGCCACCCTCACCAGCTCATGCTGGAGGCCTGGCCCAGAGCTGCCCCGGGCACTACAGCCATTCACAGAGCCTGAAGCAGAACACATTTTAAAAATAACCTTTTTTTGGAGAGATGTTTAAATACAGGAAGGCACAAAGATTAAAGCACCTTGCTACCACCACACAGAATGGATAGTCAGTGTTTTCTTTATATTATTTTTAAGTTAAAACACAGAAAAAATGGAAGTGCCTTTGATTCTTCAGCCCCTTGACCCAGTGTCACTCTGCTCACCCCTCCAAGGCGACCATGACCATGATCCGGTGTGTAGCCCTATCGTCCATGTAAGAAGAACTGTTTGCGTAAACTCTGAGGAACATGTAGTGTTGCTTTGGGTGTGCCCTGAACGTACAGCCACAGCGTCATTCTGGGTTCCTGTGCAGTCTTTCACTCACCTCTCCTTTGCCTCCATCTGTGGGTACATGTGTTAGGAGCTGTGACTGTTAACTGCTAGAGAGTACGCCATGTGGATTGAGAATACCTCATTTCCCATTGACTGCTTTTTTTTTTTTTTTTTTGTCAATCCTCACCAGAGGATATTTTTCCTTTTTTTTATTTTTATTTTTTATTTTATTTTAGAGTGTGGAAGGGAGAAGGAGGAAAGAGAGAGAGAGAAACATTGATTGGTTGCCTCCTAAAAGGGGCCCCAACCAGGGCCAGGGATCGAGCCTGCAACTGAGGTACGTGCCCTAGACTGAATCGAAACCAGGACCCTTCATTGGCCGCAGGCCGATGCTCTATCCACTGAGCCAAACCAGCTAGGGGCCCATTGACTGCTTTTTAGATTTTATTTTTTTGCTGTTGCAAACCATGCTGCAGTGGACACCATTTACAGGCCCCCCAGTCACATTGACGCGCTCCTTTCTGGGAATAATTCTGGGAGGTAGGACCGTTCATTTTCAGTACGTGCATTTTCAGTTTTACCCAGTTTGACTTGGTTGCTTTCTGAAACATCTAAGCCCATTCCTAGTCCCACCAGCATATGTGCTGGAACTCCTGTTTCCTGGCCCTCACACTGCTTGGGACTGGGTGAGCTTTGCCAGGCTTCTTGGTGGAGAGTATCGCCGAGGAGTGGGGTTGAGCATTTTTTCCCTCTGTTACTTGGCAGCACTTGTTCCAAACCCCTTGCAGGCACCTCCCCCACTGTCACCACCACATCTTCCTAATGGAAGACCTGAGAGTGAGTGGTTGGGCCATCTCTCCCTCGTACGTGGGAAGGGGATGAGCACATACCTGCGTGTGTGAGTGACACTGCCAAGGCCCCCGGGCCTCACTGCGGCCAGGACCACAGCTGGGCCCACACAGGCTTTCCGGCAGCCCCTCTGGCTCCTCTGCTTAGTGGTGTAACCAGCCCTCTCTCTCAGGGTTTACTGCTTGGAAATGCGCGAGGAGCGGCAGGAGCGGCTGACATTTATTGACAAACAGTTGGAGCTCTTGGCGCAAGACTACAAACTGCGGATTAAGCAGATTACAGAGGAAGTCGAAAGGCAGGTGAGAAACGGGTCGGATTCAGAGCAGAGTCCAGGGTGGAGAAGTGGGAAAGCAGACCTCCTCACCGAGGGCCTCCTCAGCCTGTAGGAGGAGCCTGTGGCCCTGGTTCCCGCACGCAGTGCCTTGCCGGGTCCACTGGGCAGGGCACCTCCTCCAGATCTTAGATGAGCATCCAGTCAGCCAACCTCTCACGTCCCTTCTCCCTCAAAAGCTTTAATTCCATGACGAGCAGAGGAGACGGCTGGCGTGGTGGGGGATAAGGATATGGAACCGGAGACTCTCTTTAGACGCTCTCCCAGTGCACATTTTGACGCGTTCTTTCTCGGTCCCTGACGTTTCCTTCTATAGGTGTCCACGGCGATGGCCGAGGAGATCAGGCGCCTCTCTGTGCTGGTGGACGAGTACCAGATGGATTTCCACCCTTCTCCCGTCGTCCTCAAGGTTTATAAGAATGTGAGTCATTAGCAGCAGTGCTCGCATTAAGCACCCCTCGATCCTTTTGGCTACGGGATGGCATCGCCAAGCAGCCGTGATTCAGTCCCTGCTGGTCTGTCAGGACCCCTCAGCTGGGGAGACGGGACCAGGCCTCACTCAGCTCGCCCATGTCAGCTCCCGGGGGCACGGGCTGACAGCCTCCATCTCCTTGTCCTTTGGCCCCCAGAAGGAAGTCCTGACTGGGGTGCTTCTTCCCTCAACCTCTCGTCTGGTTGCAGGAACTGCACCGCCACATAGAGGAAGGACTGGGCCGAAACATGTCCGACCGCTGCTCCACGGCCATCACCGGCTCCCTGCAGACCATGCAGCAGGAGATGATCGGTGAGTGCAGGGAACGCGGCTCGGAGGCCAGCCCGCAGAGACCACCTTTCCTATCTGTCACCTTTGATGATGAGTCAACTCGATGCCTTCAGGTTCTGGGTGATGTCATGAGTTCACTCCACACGCAGCCTCCGGAGCCGTCTTGTGTTACCACACGGGACCGTCACCGGCTGCGGGGCCTGCCCCTTAGTCCACGTGAGGCATAATGTTAGCAGGGGTGGAGCCCAGACCTGCCCCCTGGGAGAGCTGGCCTGCCCGCCCGAGTGTGGCACCCCTGGTCCCACAGCCCACTCATCGGGCCTGGTTCTGGGCAGAACCATCAGCGTCCTTGGCCATAGCTGCGGGCTCCCGTTCCAAGCCTCGGCCCTGGTGCGGCCCGCAGAGCTGAGGTGCTCTCCCCGTTCTCTTCCTGACAGACGGCTTGAAACCCCTCCTCCCTGCGTCCGTGCGGAGTCAGATTGACATGCTGGTCCCTCGGCAGTGCTTCTCCCTCAGCTACGACCTGAACTGTGACAAGCTGTGTGCTGACTTTCAGGAGGACATCGAGTTCCATTTCTCTCTCGGGTGGACCATGCTGGTGAACAGGTTCCTGGGCCCCAAGAACAGCCGCCGGGCCTTGATGGGCTACAATGACCAGGCAAGCACAGCCCCTTACCTGGGCGTGCGGGAGGCCCAGGGTCCCGGTGCTCCCACATCCACGCTGGCCGTATCCTGAGCACTGATGTTTGTGAAGTTGCAAATGCTAGCTGTATTTTTTTCTTTTCTTTCTTTTAATATATTTTTATTGATTTCACAGAGGAAGGGAGAGGGAGAGATAGAAACATCAATGATGAGAGAGATTCATTGATCAGCTGCCTCCTGCAGGCCCCCTACTGGGGATCAAGCCCACAACCCAGGCATGTGCCCTTGACCAGAATCAAACCCGGGACACTTTAGTCCACAGGCTGACGCTCTATCCTCTGAGCCAAACCAGCTAGGGCTGCATTTTTTTTCTAATGCATATTAAAGTAACCATTACTGCTATTAAATTATATTAAAATAAATAGTTTTAAATAACCATTATAATAATACATAACTTAAATCTAAATGACATAAAATATCTCTCCATATGCCATTAAAAATATTTTTCCTCACCCAAGGATATGTTTATTAATTTTAGAGAAAGGGGAAGGGAGAGAGAGAGAAACATCGATGTGAGAAGGAAACATCAATGGCTTGCCTTCTGTATGCACCCTGACCGGGAACCAAACCTGCAGCCTTTTGATGTAAGGGATGATGCTCCAACCACCTGAGCCACCGGCCGGGGCTCCATATTCCGTTTTAAAACTGAGATTTTTACACGACCTCTCTGTATTGTACTTTAATTGTTGCACGTGCTACTCTTGGTACATGTGCCACGCTTTGGGATGCTGAAGCCTTCCAAGGTGGCCACTGCTCACATTTCGGGGTATCCCACAGTGCTCACCTTTGGGCTAGCAGGTCTGCTATGAAGCTCAAATCCTCTTTGCAACTTGTGAAGCTCACTTCCCCCTGTTGGCCTTTTGGAAATTGAAAAGCCACCCCTGTCCTTGTTTCAGGACCCCTAGCTTTGAGGGTCACTGAAGGTTTCATTGAATGAGCCCCATTTTTCTTAGCCCTCTCCTTGTTTCTCTCTTCAGGTTCAGCGTCCCATCCCTCTGACGCCAGCCAACCCCAGCATGCCCCCTCTGCCTCAGGGCTCCCTCGCCCAAGAAGAACTCATGGTTTCCATGGTCACTGGCCTGGCCTCCCTGACGTCCAGGACCTCCATGGGCATCCTGGTTGTTGGAGGAGTGGTCAGTGACACGCCCTGCTCGGGAGGGGTGGGAGGTGGGAGGACAGGTGGCTGACTGAGGGGCACAGTCCTGGTGGTCCCTGTGTGGCACGGCTTGTTCACCTCCGTCAGAGACTGAGTGTTCTCTTCACTGATCTGTGCCAGTGTGCAGCCTCAGCCCTTTAGCATATATACTTACTGACCTGTTTGTCTCACTCAGCTGGCATTTAGGGTAGCTCCAGTCCCATTTGACAGATAGGAAAGTCTGTGACTACCTTGCCAGGCTTTGAGCTCTGGCCCCGTCTGACTCTAAGACTGTGCTCTTCCCCTGTTGGGCATGGTTGCGTGGTGGGTAGGGAAGTGACCTGAGAAATTGACAGGCCTGGGTTCTAGAGAGGTGGGTTCCAGGAGTGTCTCATTTGTAGGCAAGAAAACCGACCTTGTCTCTCCATCTCTTGGTTTTATGGCCCTTTGCTTTCTACCCTAAGGCCTGAGATTGCAGGCTGCCTTCTTTTTAAAATTTTTTTTATTGATTTCAGAGAGGAAGTGAGAGGGAGAGAGAGAGAGAGAAACATCAATGATGAGAGGGAATCATTGATTGGCTGCCTCCTGCACACCCCCTACTGGGGATTGAGCCTGCAACCCGGGCATGTGCCCTTGACTGGAATCGAACCGGGGACCCTTCAGTCCACAGGCCGACGCTCTATCCACTGAGCCAAACCAGCTAGGGCTGCAGGCTGCCTTCTTGATAAGCGGGGTCTCCTGTACTTCCTGATCCAAGAGACACTGCAGCCAAGATAACTTATACCTTGAATTTTTTTCTTTTTTTAAGCTTACATTTTTTATTGATTTTTTTAGAGACAGAGTAAGGGAGAGGGAGAAAGAGAGAAAAAAAACATTGATATGATAGGGAAACTTGGATTGGCTGCCTCCTGCATGGCCCCTACTGAGGATCGAGCCCACAACTCGGCCATGTGCCCTGACCGGGAATCGAACCAGCAACCTTTCAGGACAACACTCAACCAAATGAGTCACACTGGCCACGGCTCTTTCTTTTCTTTCTTTCTTTTTTTTGTTTTCTTTGTTGATTTTAAGAGTGCATGCGTGGGAGAGAAACGTTGATTCGTTCCACTTTCTTATGTATTCATTGGTTGATTCTTGTATGTGCCCTGATTGGGATCAAACCCACAGCCTTGGTGTATGGGAATGATGCTGCAACCAACTGAGCTACCCGGCCAGGGCTGCCTTGAATGTTCTTGATGACGTGGGCGAGTTCGCTCTATTACGGACATTTGATTTGTAGAAACGGTGGCTGAATGTAACTAACAAAATTGCCTTCTCAGCCTGTAAGACCAGGGTGAGGCCCCCGAGGCCCCTCTCCCTCCCGGTCCGCAGAGGCACATGTTCTGGTTCTTCCGCAGAGGTGACCTGGCAGAGGGTCATTCACTGAGACCCTGACCCTTGATGGCTATGTAACCCTTTTACAACATCTCGTTTGACCCAAACAACCTGTGAACTGGTGAAGACCGTTATGCTGGTTTTGGGGGGAAACAAGTGCACAGAAACACAGCCAGGATGGCAGGCAGCCCTGGAGCCTCGATTTCCGGCTCCAAGTCCAGTGCTCTTTGAATGTAGCCACACTGCCTTGAAGCAAAGTGCTACAAACAGGACAAAAAGGAGCCATCTGCTGGGGAACGATGCGTGGAATGTGACTTGTCAGTGTCATCAGCACGTTGATCCTCAAGAATTCTGTGTGCTGCCCGGCTGAATGGCTCAGCTGGTTTAGCTCGTCCTGTGTACCAAAAGGTTGCCAGTTCTCCTAGTCAAGGTACATACCTAGGTTGTGGGTTCAATCCCAGGTCAGGGCACGTACGGAAGGCAACCAGTTTCTCTCTCATACTGGTATTTCTCTTTCTCCCTTCCTCTATAAGCAAGTTCTCAGGTGAGGATTTAAAAAAAAAAAATTCCGTGTGCCTGGACCTGTACCCCTACCCACTGTTTCGCATAAATCGTGTGCAAACACCAAGTTTCCCTTATTTTTTATTTTTGGTTAATCCTCACTTGAGGATATTTTCCCACCCTTATTTTTATTTTTGGTTAATCCTCACTTGAGGATATTTTCCCATTGATTTTTAGAGAAAGTAGAAAGGAGGGGGAGAGACAGAGAGAATGAAACATGGATGTGAGAGAGAAACATCGATTGGTTGCCTTCCACACACGCCCTGACCAGGGCTGGGGATCGAGCCTGCAACCTAGGTACATGCCCTTGACCAGAATCGAACCCGGGACCCTTCAGTCCATGGGCCAATTACTGAGCCAAACTGGCTAGGACCCTTATTTTAAACTGTAGCCGGTCCCTGCTCTTTTGGCCTCAGTGGGATTAAAGGAGACGTTGAAAGAGGTGTTTTGAGTCGAGGCACGAAGGCTCCTTGACGGGCTCTTGGGAAAGTCCTGGCAGGGACGGGCTGAGGATGGACGGTGGGAGCCTCAGCTGACAGTTGTGCCTCTGCAGGTGTGGAAGGCGGTGGGCTGGCGGCTCATCGCCCTGTCCTTTGGACTCTATGGCCTCCTCTATGTCTACGAGCGTCTGACCTGGACCACTAAGGCCAAGGAGAGGGCCTTCAAGCGCCAGTTTGTGGAGTACGCCAGCGAGAAGCTGCAGCTCATCATCAGCTACACCGGCTCCAACTGCAGCCACCAAGTCCAGCAGTGAGTGGCCGGCAGCCCTGAGCCAGCGCCAGCTCCCGCGGTTCAGGCTTCCCTCTGGGTCCCCTTCTAACCTGGAAACCATTGGGTCTTGAGCACCGTCCGGCCCTGACCTTCAGCTGTGCGGTGCTACCTTGCAGCCGGGGATGGGGAGTGGCATCTCCAGGGACACCTGTGTCCTGGCCTGGGACCACCTGAGAGTCTGGTTCCCTAAGGAAGGAGGACTGGGCAGATGAGGGACGTTACTTTAAAGGTTGCCTCAAAGGCTTGTAGTTTGGATGCAGCTTTGAAGTTCTGAGGCACAAGCTCATCCTTCCTGGCACAACTCTGGTCGGGTGGGAGTGGATCGCTGGGTCTGGTGGTGGGGTGCATGCCAGCTGCCGTGTGGCAGGCCCTTTGCTCGGCGTTTGCTCCTCCAGCCTTTAGAGGCAGGCATTTTTCTTGGCATTTGCCTTTTCAAAATGGAGATTTGAAGAGTAGTCACTTGTCCCCGGTCACTGGGCTGATTAGCAGCAGAGCCAAGATCTCAATCCTAGTCTCACGATATGATGCCCTGCACTCCTGGTTCTGACACGGTGGTGATAGTGAGTGTGTGCTGGTTGTGACGTGCATGGTCTCAGCATGGGGTAGGAGGGTTCTACCGAACCAGGACTGGTGCAGGGCAGAGCTGCCAGCAGGCGACAGGCCTGGCGGCTGCCCGACCCTGGGTTGGTCGGATTTAGTCACCACCTTTGTTCTCTAAAACAGCCACTTCGCCCGGTTGATCCCGACTCTCTCCTCCCCAGGGAACTGTCTGGGACTTTTGCTCATCTGTGCCAGCAAGTGGATGTCACCCGGGAGAACCTGGAGCAGGAGATTGCTGCTATGAACCAGAAAATCGAGGTTCTTGTTTCACTTCAGAGCAAGGCAAAGCTGCTCAGGTGAGGAGGCCTGGGCGGTGTGGGCTGTGGTGTGTCACGAGCGCACAGCTCCTGGCGGGGGTTTAGCTTTTCCCGTGAAGACCAGGTGTGGTGCCAACACTGTCCCCCGGCACTGGCAGTCACGGCTGTGGTGGCAGCAGAGGAACCAGGCGATGTGGGGCCGTAGGGTTACAGCTCACTGGCACCTTCTCAACTGCAGCGTCTCGGGCACTTGACCTGAGCTGCTCTGCTCAGCCTTCAGCAGCCTTTTCTGTCCTTGACTGTCCACTGTGTGCTGGGGACACTGGGCTAGGCCCCCGCATGCATTTTAGTCCGTTTCTCTCTGAGCTCAGGAAAGGGGGGAAGCCAGCATTTACCCACAGGGAAGCGGGTTAGGTAGCAGGTAACTGGCAGAAACCAGATAGGAACCCAGATCTGCACAGGGTCTATCGAAACAGCTGGAGAGGATATTGATCTGAGGAGCCAGGGGTCCTGGGTTCTGGTCCAGGCACTCGTGTTCCGGCCAATCACTGAGCTTTCCTGTGCCTCACTGTTTCCGTCTATAAAATAGTCAGGTTTCATGATGCAGCCACAGAGCTGAATGTGTGTGCTCGGCACGAGTCCCTGGCCGCTCAGCCCGAGATAGCATCAGCTCACGGGGACCTTGTGCTTCCTGCCCCCGCCCCTGGGGGCAGCACCCAGGAGCTGCGTCATTGGCACGGGCCCCAACCCAGGGAAGTGGACTTCCCCTCCCCTGACTGTGTCCATGTGCCCTCCCCGCCCACCCCCGGGGCAGCCATTTTCCAGGGACACACTCATCCCCGGGGAACTAGCAGGGTGCATGTGGGGAGTGTCTGCTGCTGGTCAGCCACTGGGGACAGGATGAACCTGAGACGGACAGGCAGGGAAGCAGAGTTCCCACCAGTTCAGGGCCTGGCCCGTGGTCCCAGGGTGAAGCAGACACAGCTTGCAGCTTGGAAAGTCTCACTTTCCTCGTGTGTAAGAAGGGCTTTTGGAGGGGTTTGTGCCAAGAACTGCTTGGCATATAATGCTAGTATTACCTATTATTATCACCTATCACCGCTGCAAATCATTTCTCTGCAGGAATAAAGGTGGTTGGATGGACAGTGAACTCAACATGTTCATGCACCAGTACCTGCAGCCCAGCAGATAGTGGGCAGCCCGGAGCCGGAGCCAGAGCCTGTGTGGAGAAGGGCGGCGCTGCCAGCCGACGGGGCGCCTCCAGGGCTGCTCCTGTCTGGCCGCCGCCATGAGAATGAAAGCACCAGTGTCTCACTGTTTGGAGCCCTTCAACACTAGTCGCTTTCCCCCTCCTTCGCCTGCTGCTGCGGGAGATTTTCCGGCTCACCCCCTAGAGGAGACTTTTTAAACGAAGACAGTGTGACACCGAGGAATCAAGTCGAGTCCTCTCTGCTTTGTCAGAGTCACTTGACTGAGCATCATTGGGTGCTGGGTAAGGTCCTGGCTCCCAGCCTCACCGCATGCCTGCCTGGAGCCCTCACACCCTCCTCCGCCAACACTGATGCCGGCCCTGCACACCTGTGCTCCTTGCGCCCAGCACACCCGCAGAAAAGGCCACTCTAGGGACGCTGGGATTTTCTTCCCAGATCGCATTGGCGTGGTTCTGTCCCAGAAGGACTGTGCTTGTGTCAGTCGGTCCTTCAGCTTTCGTGCTTTGTCCGTGCGCCGAGCCTCTCAGACACGTGTTGACGGTGGGGCTCGGTGCGCATGCCCTGGGTTTTGGGTGAGGTGGGCCTGTGCCACGAGGGAGGAGGATGCTGCAGAGGCGATTTGATGGCAGTGGTGAGAGTAGCTTAGGGGAGCTTGTGTGTGGAGGGCTGTGCCCCTCCTGACGCCTGTGCTGTTGGAGGGGCGGGCCTCCCTGCTCTTCATTGTCAACCTTGTTCTAGTTTCGGTCCTTGGCCTGCGTAGTCTGGTTTTATTATGAGTGAGAGATGGTTTGGTCCAGAGTGTTAAAGGATGTAGTAGAAGGGAAGATGGTGGCAGGAAGGGGCCTTGGTGGCAGGCCGGGGGGCGTGGGCCCCTTTCAGGACGACAGCTGGAGAAGGTGGAGTCGGGGCAGAGCAGGGCCCTCCATTAGACCTCACTCTGTGGGGCCCACGGGGTCTGAGAGTCACCCCACCGGCTTGATTGCATCCCTATTGTGCCCCTTAAGAGACATGCCCCCCCCCCCCCCCCCAGCTTGGCCCACCTGCCCCTGGCTGAGCATCCTCTGGGCTGAGTCTGTGCGGTGACGCTGCAGCTGGCCAGGGACAGTGTGGGAACCCTGGGCCCCACCTGTGCACTCCCCATCCCCAGAGCCTCCCACCGACACACATGGCCTCCTCCTGTTAACTTTGAGACGTGTTTTCCGCTGTTAGTGGTTAAAGTGGGGGCCGGTTCCTGTCTCCAGTGTGTTAGCTGTCTGGGCAAGCCACCTTTGGGGACAAGCCTTTGCAGCGCAGGTCAAAGAACATGCTAGAAAGAAAGCAGCCCCTCTTCCAGCAAGAGGCGGGGCTCGTCCTGCCCTTTTGAGTCCACGTGCTCTCTGGCATCGGATGTGAGTTCATGGCCTCTGCACACGTGGGTGGCCACGCAGGGGCGTCCCCTCCAGGTCCCACTGCAGTCTGCACTGCTGTGTGGAACAAAGGGATGGGCTTCGCCAAAGGGCAAGTGGTAGGAGGGCTTGCTGCGTGTCCTGCAGGCCTGGCTGGTGTCACCTCACAGCCAGGGAATCAGTGTCCCACAGTTCCAAGGAAGTTTGTGCTTTGGGGGTGAAATTATTTAATAGAACTAAACATGAATTTTTTTAAATGTAGCCTCTGGGCAATGAATGAAATTTTGAACTTATACAATAAGTAAAATGAAATACGTACACCGAGGGGGAGACTTTCTGAAAGGAGTGTGGCAAAGACACTTTAATTTAATGCTGCTGACTTTGTTCTCTGTGTTTATGTTCATTTGCTGGAGTGAGACATGCTTGACAGTGAGTTTTTTCTCCGATATATTTAAGGTGATATATTTGCCTGAATTGCTCCTGTATCATTGCTGATAATATTGGAAATGAAAATAAAGCTAGTTGGGAACCCATTGTGGGATCTTCTCAGTTTACTATTCTTCTGCAAACTCCCTCCGACATAACCGAGTCTGCAGGTTAGTATTTAAAATGACCTTGCGTGCCCATCAGTAGATGAGTGGATTAAAAAACTGTGGTACATCTACACAATGGAATACTATGCTGTGGTAAAAAAGAAGGAGTTCTTACCATTTGCAACAGCATGGATGGAACTGGACAGCATTATACTAAGTGAAAT